TCATGTAAGAAATCTACACTTGTGGCAACTAAATATATAAAAATAATTTAAAAATAAAGCTCACTAGATAGACTCCATAGGCAAGTAGAGATGACAAAGGATAGAATTAGTGAACTTGAGGATAGATCAATAAAGTTTACTCAATCTGAATAAAAAAGAGAAAATAAACTGAAAATAAATGAACAGAACCTCAATAATCTATGGACTTTAACAAAAGAGATAAATTTGCATCATGAGTCTCCCAGAAAAAAAGGAGAAAGAATATGAGACTGAAAAAGTATTTGAAGAAAAGTGTTAAACTTCAAAAATTTGGCCGAAGATATAATCCAAGGATCTGATTTCTTCTCAAATAGAATAAACACAAAGAAACACCCAGGAAGTCACAATATAAATAAACTTCTGAGAACTAAAGAAACAGAAAATATCTTAAAAACAACCAAAGAGAAATGATTATCCATAAATAAACACCAATTAAAATTATAGTGAATTTCTTATCTGAAACAATGGAAGACAGAATGAGAAGGCAAAACATTTTTCAAATGCTAAAAAGACAAATAGCCCTATTATTCAATTTATCTAAAAGATACACAAATGACCAAATTGTACATTACAAGATGGTCAATATCATTAGTCACTAAGTAAATACAATTCAAAACCATAAGATAATATGATGGGAACCCCCCAAAAACCTGGAAGTCATTTATAAAAAATTGGTATGTATTCTTACATGTTTAAATTTCAGTCACCTTCAAAGTACTCCCCACTTGATGCAATACACCCGCCAAGATACTTTCTCCGCTGCTCAAAACATTTTTTGAACTCATCAATTTTGATGTCTTTTAGTGCTTCTGCCATTTTTTGTTTCACCTCTTCTACATTGGCAAAACGTTTGCCTTTGAGGACTTTTTTCCATCCAGGGAAACAACAAAAAGTCACTCGGGAAGAGATCTGGTGAATAGGGAGAGTGAGGCATGGGGTTCATGCTGTTTTTGGTAAAAACAAAATAAAACAAAACAAAAACTGCTGAACACTCAGCATGGTGTGGGCAGATTGTGTAAATCACCCATCATGAAATGGGCAATGCATTGGAAGAATCTCTCCCCAAATTCACTGAAGCCAAACGCAGCCTCTCACAACACTAGCTGGTGTTCTAATTCCTAGAACACTTACTAGAAAGCCTGTACTACAAGGGACTCACCCTCCAGAAAAGAATCCTGATTTTTGGGGGTCCCCCACTGTTGTTCTAAACCTCCAGGTTAGTTCCCAAATATGTTAAACATAGAGTTGCCATTTGGGCCAGCAATTATACTATTAGTTATATATTCAAGGGAAGTGAAAACGTTGTCCACAAAAATACTTGTAGGTGAATGTTCATAGTAGCACTATTCATAATAGCAAAACAGTGAAAAAAAAATGTCCCTCAACTGATAAATGGATAAACTACAGATATATATATTTATCTCCACACATATATAATCCATTCTGTGAAATATTATTCAGTCATAATACAACTTGTAGAGCAATTGCTATTACAACATGGACGATTCTTGAAGACATTCTGTTAAATGAAAGAAGCCAGACACAAGAAACACATATTGTTCAGTTATGTGTTTATGATATGCCCAGACTTGACAAAAATCTATAAATCTATAAAGACAAAAAGTAGATTAGTGGTTGCCTGAAACTATAGGAGTGAGGAATGTGGTAAAGTGATAAATGGCTCCCCTTCCAAAGATATCTAGGTCCTAATCTTTGAAACCTGTGAATGTGGCCTTATATGGCAAAACAGGGTGTGCTGATGTGAATAAATCAAGAATCTTGAGATGTGGAGATTGTCTTGAATTATGTGATGAGCACAACATGTAATCATATATATCCTTATAAGGGGGGGGGCAGAGGGAGATTTGAATGCAGAGAGGAGAACGTGATGTGAAGGTGGAACAGAAAGACTTGAAGATGCTGGTCTTGAAAATTAAAATAATACAGTCACAAACCAAAGACTGCTGGCAGCCACCCGAAGCTGGAAAAGGTCAGGAATGAATTCTTCCCTAGAGCCTTGGGGGCACGGCAACCCTGCTGACACCTTAATCTCGGTCCAGTGATACTGATTTCAGGTTTCTGGCCTACAGAACTGTGAGATAATAAATTACTGTTGTTCTAAACCACCAAGTATGAAGTAATAGGAAACTAATATAGGGTGTGACTCTAATGGGTATTGGGTTTCTTTTGGGGGGCAATAAAAATACTCTAAAGTTATACTGTGGTGATGGTTGCAGAACTCAGTTGATATAACAGAAACCATTGAATTGTACATTTCAAATGGGTCAATTTTATATCTTGTGAATTATATCTTATAAACATGCTTAAGAAATAATTGTGACCTTGGCTTCAGAAAAAAATTTCACAAAAAAGTGACCCATACAAAATTATATATTGGACTTCATCTAAAGAAGGCAACATGAAATGTTACATGCTGTACTATTTCCATCCTGGAAAAAGAAAAATTATAGAAAAAGAATCCACTAGATCAATGTTTTCCAGGGACTGAAGGGACAGGGGACAAGTTTTTGGGAAGATGACATTCTTCTCTATCTCACTTATGGTATTGAATCCAAGTCTCTACAGGTTGTTGAACTTCTAAAACAGTACATAGAAAAGGGTGAATTTTACTGTATGTAAATGAGGCCTTCATTTTTGAGAATAATAAATATAAAAATACTATTGTGTTGAATTATTTCATAAGTAAAAGTCCAATTTATACATATTTTAAGAGTTTGGTAAATAATTCCAAATTTCCCTCAAGAAAGATGGAATCCAACACCCATTTCCTCTCTCTTCCTCTTCCTTTATGAATGAGAGTGTTTGCATCCGTATATGCTCAACAACACAACAATGACAATGGTCATACTTTTGACAATGCCTCACTCAGTGCTGGGCATAGTATAGGAGTTTAGTAGAAACATTGATTCCAGCCACATGAAGTTCCTACAAGGGATAAATACTCCACTCCTGAAGCCACTTACTGTTCTGATGGAGGGCAGGGGTGAAAAAAGACACTATGTATGTTGGGAAGAGGCCTGTGCGCTCAGGGAGATGGGGAGGTCCAGAGGTCTGGGCGAGAAGCAATAAAAAAGGAAGGGTGCGTCAGGAAAACATAGTAAGTCTTCTGTGAGCTGAGGGGTCTCAAGTGATTGCTGTATCTTCTTCCTATGCCCCTGATGTCTGCCAAGCCCCGTGTATAGCAATGAGGATGTGAAGATGAGCAAATGAATGAATGAACGAGTGTGTTGAGAGACTATAAAAGTTTAGGCTCAGCCCAAACAGACTTCTTTGGTTTGGGATTTGGGGGTTCAAAGTCCACTTAAGACTGTGGCCATGCAAGTTTGAGGTCTTTTTACTTTGAGTCTTTTGAAAGTAAGTGAAAGTGGAGACCAAGCCTGAAGACCCCTGAGCAGAAAAAACCAGTCAGATCTCACAAGTGACCCCCATCTTCTTTGCAACGATAAACAAAACTTAACTTGATTTATTTCTTATAAATGCGCATTAAGAGATAGTAGAACTTAAGCTCAACCAATGAGAATACGCCAACAGGTTTATAAATAACTAGGGTCTTTCCAACAGAATACACCAAATAAGGGAACCAAATAACCGTAACCAATTTAAATTTTTTTCTTTACTTGTTCTGTAAAGGCCTCTTCTTGCATCTTCCCCGTGGAGCTCCTGAACCTCTTCATGTCCGGAGCTGCCTGACTCATGAATTGGTGTTTGTTTAACTAAGTTCTTTATTATTTTATTGTGCCTAAGTTTACTTTTGACGGTCCCATCTAGGAGTAAAAATGTGGCACAGGTGAGTAGGGGGAGCATGCATAGCCAAGGGAGTTCACCTGGGTTGGACCCCCACACACCAAAGGAACGGATGACACAGCTACTGGACATCAGAAATCGGTCCTTCTGATTCTTAGCCCTGGGGACTAAGTGAAGGGGGTGTGGTCTTGGGCCAAGTGCTGGGTCATTTCCACTGGAGCTGGGTGGCTGCAGAGGCAAGATACGGTTGCACAGGAGGAAAATGAGGGGCATGCCTGTGTGCTGACTGGAGGCAGAGCCAGGGGAGGAAGGGGCTCTTCAGATGAGGTGGGTGAGGGGAAGCACTGGGGTGGCCTTAGGAAGCATGGATGAGGGACTAGGAATCTAGAGGGAGCTGGTGGTGAGTAGAGATGACAGGAGGAGAGGCAGAGAGAAGGATAGAGATGGGAGATGTGTGGACAGGGGAGAGGAGAGGCAGCTCATGTGTGTGTGTGTGTGTGTGTGTGTGTGTGTGTGTGTGTGTGTGTGTGTGAAAGAGCGAGCGACTGTGTGCATGGGTGTATGTGTGTGAATTACAGAGAGAAAGAGACTCTGTATGTGAGTGTGTGTGTATGTGTTCACGTGCACCCACATGTGAGAGCACAGGAACCCCTCCCTGAAGCCAAGCTGTATGCTCTGAGACTTCTAATTTGCATCTTTTTTCTCCTGTGACAAAAGTGAGATTGCAAGTGGGCCTGGAAGAGGTTATTTGCAACGGTGAGCACAAGTGACTCTTCTGAGCGGCCAGGAACCCGGGAGAGAGAAAGAGGCAGAAACAGATGAATGCATTGCAATGAATGAATGAGTGAGAGTTTGTAAGAACCTTCTTATGCTTGTGCGTATGTGAAAAACGAGGGTCCAAGATGCCCTTCCTCAGCCTCTATCTCTGGGTCTCTGAGCCTAGAGAATTCCAGGAAAGTCTGTTCCTGAGGTTCCAGAAACCTCAGCCCAGCCCCCTAGCTGAAACCCCTGCCTCAGATGAGCAGACTCTCTTATGGACCAGATTCTGGGGGGAGGCGGGGTAGGGCAGAGAGCCCTCTGCCTCTGTGAACCTCCCTGGGCTTGGGGCCCCAGACTGGGTGGAGCAGCCACACCTGCTTGAAGTTCTGAGGAAAAGGGCGGAAACAGCTGTCAGCGCTGCCCTTGTGATAGGCTCCATGGGCCCCTGCGGTCTGCTGGGGCAGTGGGTCCCCACACTGCCTCACTTCCCTAAATGGGCAACTTCGCTTTTAGAACCCCAGGTCCCTGGCAGACCCAGGTGGCACATCCTGTGTGGGCCTGGGCCCCAACCTTGGATCCCTGGGGTGCCCTGGCCTGGTGCTGAGCCTGAGACTTTCCCAACTGGATGGAGCTATGGTCCCCATGTTCCTGCTTCTGCCGCTGTGGCTCCAAGGCTGCGTCTCAGGTGAGAGGAGGAGGGGGCTGGCTTGAGGGGGTGTGTAGGCAGGAGCTCTGGGCCTTTTCCTCTACCTCCCTCCCTGCTTTTCTTGCCCAGTTGTCTTGTTTAATGTCTTGTGGTTGAGAGGGGAGGCGGTTGAGGCTGACTTAGTAACTCTTTTTCAGAGACCAGAAAGAATGTTCCTTCCTAACATCTGGCCCCAGACAAAGCTAACCCAGGCCTCCTAAACGAAGATAAAGCTCTGGACCCTCTCTGCACTGACCCCTTTATCAGCTAGGCTTCCTCAGGCCTCAAAGCAGGAACACTCAATTTCCTCACACAAACTTCAGAGCTTGGCCTCTGCCGGGAACTCCTGTTCGGTTCTGACAAGAGGCATTGCATCATGTACCCACTTCGGACACACTTTTTTCTCTGCTTGCTAATGCCACATTCTGTCCCTGCTTCTGTCCTGGAGGAACCAACCCCTGAAGGCCTTTCCCATCACACAGCGACCAGTGCTTTTTAGGGGGCCTCACCCGATCCCGCCCCTTCGCTACCATGGCAACGAAGTTACCGCTTCCTGTTCAGTTCTGGGCGTGGTGGGGGTTGGCAAATTCCACTCCCCACCACCTGTGAGAGACGTAGAAAAGGGAGGCAGATGTGAACAGAGTAACTAGGAGACTCATTCCAAGGTCACCCCAGCTCTGCCTCTCTGCCACAGCAGAAGAGCAGTCTCTCTTGTGCTAAGAAGTCCTGGGCTCGTCCACCAAATAGTGGAGTTGGGTCATTCTTTTAGGTTTGTAAGGGAGAAAGGAATGCTCAGAGAGGGTGTTGCCTTACTCAGAGCCTCAGCTACACGGGCTGCTGGGTGGGCACTGGGGTAGATGTCTTGACTTTTGGGGCCCTGACTATCACAGCTCTGGACTCCACTGGGAAAGTCTGTAAGACCTGAATGTGAGGAAAGGAAGCATGTATTGAGCACCTACTGTGTGCAAGGCACTGTCCTGGGGAATAATTCTCACAACGACCCTGGAGGAGAGTGCAGTTAATCCTACTTGGCAGAAAAAGAAATAGATGTTAGGTGACCTGATCGCACAAGAAAGTGGTAGATACAGGGTTTTAACTCTTATTTAGTTTGACATCAAGATGTGTGGTCTCTATTCTGTCCTCCTGTGGATAAACTGTTTATGTGTGTGTTACTGGAAGGCTCTGGAGTGAAATTATCAGAGGAGTAAGTGCTGAGCTTAAGGTGAGCAGAGGACTGGAGGGACCTCATGGCAGCTGTATCCCTCTTTCTGTCCCTGAGTCACCCTCCTTCACCAGTTCTGCGCTCTGTCCACCAGACTGGATCATGAAGGGCACAGACCACATCTTACACCTGAGCACAGACTACAAGATATTGTAGGTGAAAAGGGAATGAATGATTGTAGCAACCTTTGGTTCAACTTTGGTTCAACTCCACTGGGAATTTATATGTACGTTTGGGCAGGCTTGATGATGGATTTCACGTAACTAGAATATTTTAAAGTTAAATACCACCTAGAATGAGCTGAGACAGCTTGCTATTTAAGAGATGACGACAGTGAGCCTGTTTGTGAAATAAATAACAGCTCACCATTTTTTCAAATATTGGGGTTTCTTATTCACTCTACTTGAAAGATAGAGAAACAGATGTTAGGTGACCTGATCACACAAGAAAGTGGTAGAAACAAGATTTTAACTCAAGAAGTACTCTTAAGAAAATAAAACATTGTGATGTATTTGTGCTCTGAAATTCCAGAACTTAATGACTTGTGTTTGTGTCCATACATCTGCCTCATTGAGGGCAGGACCTGGGTCTTACCACAAGACTGGGAATCCCTGAAGACAGAGCTTATCTCTGTTCCATCAGACTAGAACATACTGTGAAGAAAGTGACTGTGTCTCTTGGATCTTTGAGGACTGTGTTTCTTCCACTACACTGGGGGCTCCCTGAGGGCCATCCCTACCTCCCCCATCAGACTGAAAGCTCTCTGAGGGAGGGCCCTGTGTTCCCCCATCATGCTGGGTGCTAGCTGTTTGCAGGGTCTGCGTATCCCCCCATCACCCTGGGGGAGCTCCCTGAGGGTCGGGAGTGTTTCCCCCTCAAACCGTGAGTTCCATGGCAGCAGGATGAGCTTCACCTCCTCTCTCTTCACCATGATCTTCAACTCCTGAGATGTCTCCTTCCCCCTGTCTCGGCCGACCTTGCTCAACAACCCCTGTCTCCTCAGGTCGCCCTGCTGAGAACGTATACACCAAAGTGAGGCTTCCTGAAGGGCAGACTCTGTCTGTGCAGTGCTCCTACAAGGGCTACAAAAACCGCGTGGAGGGCAAGGTTTGGTGCAAAATCAGGAAGAAGAGGTGTGAACCTGGGTTCACCAGAGTCTGGACAGAGGGGCCCCGCTACTTGCTGCAGGACGATACCCAGGCCAAGGTGATCAACATCACTATGATGGCCCTCCAGCGCCAGGACTCGGGCCGATACTGGTGCATGCGCAACACCTCTGGGACCCTCTACCCCTTGATGGGCTTCCTGCTGGAAGTATCTCCAGGTGAGTGGGCTGCGGGGGCACTGGACTGGGTGGGGATATCCTCCTGCCCCACACTCCACTAACATCAGATATAGTCAGTGTAATCATCCATCTACGGTCATGTTGTACTGCAGTGTTTTCAAAGTGCTTTACAGCATTATTATGACAGCAAAGTGTCTTCCTGGCGTAATTGTCACCATTTCACTGATGCAGAAAATGAGACCTGAAGGCCCTATGTGGCTTGAGCTTGTCCAGGGTCCCAGAGGTAGTAGGAGGCAGAGATGAGATTTGAACTCAGGATGGTCTGTGCTGTGTTTTGTTCTGTCATCACTTCAACATACATTCATGAGTCCCTAGTGTGTTCTGGGCACTAAATAAGGCTCTGAAGATGCTGCGGTGAGCACAAACAGACAAATTCCTGCCTCATGGGAGATGATAGGCAACCACACATCATCCAAACAAAGGATTGTGGGTACCAAGAAATGCTCTTAAGAAAATCAAACACTGTGATGACCTTGGATGTACTTCAGTGATGCAGGAGCCACAGTCATATCAAGGATTAGAGAACACTTTTCTGAACAGATGACATCAAGTACCCTAAATGGAGAGTGCTCTCTAGCCCTGCTGAAATCTGAGTGCTCTGAAGAAAACCCTATGGGGAGACCTGCGTATGCCTGTAATAGGAAGGCCTATGTGGTGGCTTCCATATTGCGTGTAGGGCAGTGACTAGGGAGGTAGGAGTCATCAGCGGCCCTGAAGCCACTGAGAAGGAGTTTGGACTGATGTAAGTACAAGAGGAAACTATTGGAGAGCGCAGAGAAGTTTGTTGTGGCTTGTTTTTTAAGAATAAGGTGGTGGCCAGGCTTGGTGTCTCAGCCTGTAATCCCAGCAATTTGGGAGGCCGAGGTGAGTGGATTGCCAGAGCCCAAGGGTTCAAGACCAGCCCGGGCAACTTGGTGAGACCTCATCTCTACAGTGAATAAAAAATTAGCTGGATATGGCAGCATGTGCCTATAACTCCAGCTACTTGGAAAGCTGAGGCAGAAGGATTGCTGGAGCCTAGCAGGTCGACACTAGGGTGACTGTGAGTGTGCCACTGCACTCCAACCTGTGCGATGGAGTGAGACTCCAACTGAAAAAAAGAAAAAACAAAACAGAATAAGGTAGCTGCTTGTTGAGGATAGATTGCAGAAGGTAGGTGCCTGGTCAGAGAGACCATTGTGGGCATCTGGCTGGAAAGGACAGTGGCTTGGAGTATGATATAGGCACCCGTGGTGGAAAGAAGTGGCTCAAATCTGTTTTTCAGACTCTGCCCTCTTTCTATGTATTGGAGGTAGGTTGGGATTTGCTCAAGTATGAGGTGAGCCATAGGAGGAATTAAGGATGACTCCAAGTTTTTGTATTTCATCACTGGGTGGATGCTAGTACTGTTTGCCGGGTAGGGTAAATCTGAAAGAGCAGAAAATTTGGAGTAGAACAACCAAGAGCTGGATTTTGTCATGTTAAGTTTAAGATAACTCTTAGAACCCCAAGTGGAAAGATGAAGACAGCAGTTGATATATCGGCCTGGCGCTGAAGTAAGAGGTCAGAGCTGGGATATGTATAAAGGAGCTCTATAAAGATGGTGTTTAAAATCCAGGGACTGGGCAACCCCCTCAAGTCCCCTCCGTTCTGGGAGCTTTTCTGTCCTCTCAATAAATATTGCTTTCAAAAATGTCCAGGGAATTAGAGAAATCTAAAGAGACAGAAAGTAGGTTAATGGCTGCTTAGGGCTGGGGGAAGGAAAAGGGTGATATCTAAACAGCAAAATGTTTCTTTTGGAGGTGAAGATGTTCTACAGTTGACTATGGTGATGGTTACACAACTTTGTAAATGTACTAAAAAAAACCCATTAAATAGGTGTAATGTATGGAATGTGATTTATATCTCAACAAAGTTTTTTTTTAATCAAGAGGATCTAAAAGCTCTCTTGAGTGTAGGAGAGGGAGAGAGAGAGAGAGAGAGACACCAAGAATCTGGCTGTAATGTCCTCTCACATTTATAAGATGGGGAAGCCAAAGGAGTCAGCAAAGAAACCTGAAAAAAAAAAGCAGCCAATTATTATAAAATTTACCATCCACCCTTCCTTTTTCCCTGACTCAACTGCATCCCCATCTTCTGTTGGGTCCAAACCAGGGAAAACACTATCTCTAAAATGTGAAGCCACGTCTCATTCTCCTCCTCCTCAGGGAAAGAGATGGAATCATTAAAGTCTGAATTTTATTTTCTCTCATCATTTCTCCCAATCGTACTGTGTCAGATCTCACTTTCTACTTCTTAAGGACAATTTGTGGAGACTCCAGCTTTGCAGAACTTTTCAGTTATTAAGAAATAAAAAATCCTAAGTCCATTTACAATCTCTAATCTTCTAGAAACATAGGGTTTTCCACTGCCTCCTGGAGACCAAGGCACTTGAAGTGGGGAAGAGGAGATGCTTGCTGCCTCATTCCCCCTCCTTCATCTTGGGATATGGGAAAGGCTCTTCTCGGTTACCTCCTCCTGGTCCCCCTCCCACATCCCTTAGGGTATCGATGCAGGAATGAGGGAGAAGGAAATAACTGTGTGACATAACTGACTGTTGTAAGAGCCCCCTGTCTGTCAAATATCACTCCTTCTCTGCCAACCCTTTGAGATCCTCTCTGAGGTGAGTGGGCAAATGCTCTCCCAGGGGACTGATGTGTGAGTTCTCTGAAGAGTTCTTTGGGAGTGTGCCCACAGCTCAGTATAACAATGTGGGAGATCTGGCTCCAGGTAAGCCTCTTCCTCTATCCCCATCCTCACCAATGTTGCCTGTTCTGGGTCTCTTTGCCCAGAAAAATGACTCAGCTGTCTTCCTTGGTGACCAGTTGGCTCTCAGGGTTGGATCCTTTCCATGTCCAAGAATGGGATGCCCATTCTCTCTCTCCAATGTCCTCATTCCCCACTGAGACAGAAGCAACACTCGCTGCTGGATTGATGCCTCTTAACTCCTACACCTTCCCTCTCATTCATCATCCACACTCATGGCTTCTTCTGGAAAATGGAGTGGAAAAGGGCTGGGTTGATGGATGAGGGTAACAGGACTGGTCCAGATTTCTCTTAGCGATCTCCCAAGGAAGGTGTTTGATCCCAACTCTTTGCACCTGTCTTTGAAATTTGGGTCCTTTGATGCCTCCTTGTCCTCCTCTCTGGGTGGACCCTAATTGCCAATTATGAAGCATCTGGTAAAGTCCCTGTTTAATAGTGTACTATAGAAATCTCTTAGGCCTACAGGAATGAGGAGGGGCTGGAAAGTGAGGAGCAAGATGGGGATGGGGAGGGGGTGTCTTCTGGGAACAGGTGGACTGATGTGGGAAGCTAAAGAAACCGTGAAAGCCTCTCCTTTCTTTGCTAAGCCTACTTCTTCCTAATATCACCTTCTGGACAAACACACACCCAGTCACCCAGCAGAGCAGAATTCTAGGCCCCTGGTCAAGGAGGAGATAAAAGGACAAGCCTCTGGCCTGGTGTCTGGACAACTGTGTGGGTTTCCAAGATCTGCTTCCAGCACTGAGGCCCCAAGTCAGTCTAACCTTCCTCCTCTGGTCTTTCAGCCCCCGCAACTAAAAGGAACACTCCTCCCCCACAATTGACTGACGTCCTTAAGAGCAGACATCTCACAACAGTCCAAGCCTATACCTCAGGCCCTCAGGCCCCTCTCAACTCTGATGTGATGGTGTTCACCCCTGGATTCCTCACCTTGGCCAAACACTTGCCCTCTGCCAGACCGACCTCTATGACAGGCTACAGCTTCACCAGTTCTAGCACCTCCCTGGGATCCCAGACAGTGACTGCGTCTCCCAGCAGTGCCAGAGCCTCCTCTGCTGGCCCAGAACTCATCTCCACCAAGTCTGGGCACCTCAGCACCAGATCGCCCACCATGACAACGTGCCACAATGGAAGATCTGTCCACAACAAATTACCCTCCATCAGGTACCTGTGGGGCCTGGAGTTGAAGGACATTGTATCAGATGTGGCACCAGCTCGTGGTGCCTGAACAGACTTCGAGGTGCAAACCTTCTCTTTTTGCTCCCCGGGAACTCAGTGGGTTCTGTTTCTGAATGGGAGGCGGAAGACTGGAAGTGACATAAACAATGGCAGGGGGGGATGAGGGTGAGGGGAGATGAGGGTCAGGGAGGATCAGGGTCAGGGGATGTGGGTTGGGGGGATGAAGGTCTGGGAGAGAGGAGGGATACGGGAGGAGGGTTGGGGGAGGAGGGTTGGTGAAGCTGAGGGTCAGGGAGAATGAGCCTCAGGGAGGACGGGAGGGTCAGGGGAGGTGAGGGTGGGGGAATGAGGGCTGGGGGATGAGGGTCAGGGACATATGGGTCAGAAGGGAGGAAGGTTGGGAAGATGAGGGTCAGGGGAAGGCGGTTTGGGGTGATGAGGGTTGGGGGATGAGGGTCGGGGCAGTGGGGGTCAGGTCAGAGGAGAGGAGGGCCAGGGGAGATGAGGGTTGGGAGAATGAGGGTCAGGAGAGAGTGAGAGCCAGAGGTGAGGGTTGTGGGGGATGAGGGTCAGAGAACAAATGGGCTACCCGAGGAGTCTGTGGATGGAGGGCAGAGGGTCAGGTCAGGGCAAGCATGGAGCTTGGGAGATAGGAAGTGGGAAGCGGGGGATGCTTTCATGCGTGTTCCCCTAAGGAAGCAGACTCTGAGACAAGGATCTGCACCTTATGTGGACACCAGGAAAAGGGCAGGGGAGGGGAGGTAACCAGTAAAGAATGCTTCATCCAGCTAGGTACTGCTGTGTGGAAGAAGAGCCTAATCCCACTGGGGAGACTCTGGGATCCAGTGTCCAATGCATATCTGAAGAGCCAGGGAGTCGGGCAGTTACACACCAGCTCCTGTTGCTTGTGGAGAGCAGGCTGTCTGTCATGTGTGGCATAGAAGGCTCCTGTGGCAAGAGAAAGTTCTCAGCCCCTTCTCCCAAAAGGAGGTGCTGATGACCTGTGTACACAGAGATGACAAAGAGATACAGGCAGGGCCCTACAGCATCTGCTGCAGAGGACAAGGTGGGGAGGATGCATCCTCAGTCACCTTGGGGAGAGCAAGAATCTCCATCTCTTCCATCCCAAACAAGAATCTCTTCGAATCCTCGTCCTCACTGATGAGCAGATTTGGGGGCTCTTAGAGAAGAGGCACCAGTGGAAAGATGTTCCCCTCCACCTGGGATGCTCCCCTCTCCCCAGAACTCTGGGTGCCTCACTTGCTTCTCCTATAGCTGAGTCCCCAGGGAATTGAGGACATCTGCCCTGGGAGAGGCATACTCTAGGGTTTCTGTGACTGGAGTTGTCCCTTGGTCCAACACCTCCTGTGCAGTGTGCAGAAAAGCATGGGTCAGGGTGGGGGGCCTTAGTGCTTACCTCCTTCTGCTCTGTCCCTTCTCCCCAGGCACCAGGACCTTTACCCCACTGTGCTTGTGGTGGTGCTGACCGTCCTCCCAGTGCCTGTGATGCTGATCGTAGTCTATGGGTTTTGGAAGAAGAAACATATGGGAAGTGAGTAGAGCCCACCTCCCAGCTTCTGGAGGGCAGAGCTCTGGGCAATTGCCCTAAGGGCTGTGACACTGAGTCTCCAGGCGGTGTGTCCCTCGACCTGTGTCCAGTCAAGAGGACTGTGAGGCACCCAGCAAGGGAGGAGGGACAGCCCAGCACAACCCTGCCTGGTGGGAACCAGGGGTTGGGCCACAAAGGGACTGGGGCTGGTCCAGGAGCACCAGGGCACCCTGAGCAGGGCATGGCCCTTCCTTATCTCTCCCTGTTCCTTGTAGGCTACAGCATATGCAGCAATCCTGCTAGACCCTGGAGGGACCCACCTAGAAGACCAGAGCCCCCGTGGAAGCCCTCTTGGTCCGAAGCCACTTAACCATGGGGTGGGGAGCTTCTTCCAGAGGGGCCCCAGGAGGCTGGAGGAGGGGTGAAGATCAGGGCAGTATGGATTGGACGAAGCTGGAAGACTTGTGCAGGGCTGGACTCACTTGGCCCTCCCAGAACCAGAGGCAGCCATCCACCGTGTTGGGACCAGCAGCCCTGCAGCTCAGTGTTCTCCAAGATGGCCAGCAATCTGGGGAAAGACCCAGAGCAGAGGGCATCAGGCAGGAAGTCCTGGGGGAAAGTGTCCAAGAGGTTTCTGGAGCCTCAGACCCTGGGGCCCTGGGTGGATAGCAGAAAAACCCCAAGAGTGCTGTTTACAGACAGAAAACCTCAGCCCCTGCTGCTGCGGGACCCCTGACTATCAAGCTGAGCTGGCCTCTCCCCAACTGGGACCACTGTGTCCTCAGCATTCCCCCAAGCTTTCCTATGTGCTTAGGAAGAAACAGTTGGGCTCACAAGCTCCAGAGGCTGCTGATGTCCTGATGTCCTTCCTGGAGGGGAAGAAACAGTGCCCAAGAGCTGGGGACCCACAAGGAGTCAGCAGCAGGGGATCCCAGAGCTGTCCAAGGCTCCCCTTGTTGGGCCATGTGTCCTCTGATGGGGCCTCTGAATGCCCACTGCCCTGACCACTGCTGCTCGTCCCTCCTTTACTGAGAGCCTGCAGGGCCCACGCTGTCACTGCTGCCACCTGCTGGCTGGCTTCTCCTGGAACACCTCAGACAGGGCGACTAAGAGCCCCTGGGCTACAGGGTCAGCCTCTTTCCAGATTGTGGTGCAGCAGCTGAACTCGAGGCTTTTTGCCCCAGTTTCTTACCCAATCTTCAGGTCTGAGTTCTCTGAGGGGACAGAGGGCCCAGTGGCCTCCAGCGAGTCCACGCTCTGGGGTGGCTGAAACCCTGGCTGTGTATGGAAGGTGCTTACCCCACAGACACTGGCGGAGAGACCATGGCTCAGAGGAAGGGTGGAGTACCCTGTTCCCTGCCCCCCAGGGACTCACTGTCACCTGGGGAGAGAAGTCTCACTTGTGATACAGTAAAGACAACAACTTGGAGCAGACCGCAGCCTTCAGGACTGGCCCAGGGAAGGGGGCAGGGAGAATGGAGCCCAGGTAATCTCTGACCAGGGGTCTAGTGGCCCAAAGAATCTCAGACTTGGCTTTACTGCTCAGACCACTGACCTGGTGTCCAGCAGTGAAAGGTAGAGAATGCAGCCTGGATTCCTCTCCCAGAGAGGGATGTCTACCAGCCTGGAGTGACTGGAATAGCACCTGAGGATAAGTGCACTCCTAGCCCTGGGTCAGGGACCTCCCATTGGAAAAGCAAACATCAAGGTCAGGAAAGTGTCACAGCCATGGGTTTGGAGGGCAGGTCGTGGGGGCCAATTCAGGATGGATGTGGAAGGGACAGAGGTAATTCTGGGGGACAGCAGGGCGAAGGTACTTCTTCCCTACGTCCAGGAAAGGGCAGTAGAGGAACAAATCGGGTTGAGGAACTGACAGCTCTGGTCTCAGGCAGGCGCGTGCACACACACACACACACACACACACACACACACACACACTCTGATGTCCATCTCTGGCCAGCAAGCAGCTTGCAAAGAGCTGTTCCACCTACCACTAAGGTATGGCCACCACCCTGGTGCATAATTTGGAGGGGACACAACTTACCTGGGGCAAATAGCCCCCAAGAGTTTGCCTCTCCTCTACGTGTGGTCCTGAGCCAACACCACTGACAGCCCTGCCTGCCTGAAAGCCAGACACCCTGGGGGAGGAGCACTGGGGAAGGAGTCAGGAATAGGAACCAGGATGCCACTCTGTCACTATGGGACCCTCAGCAAGTCACTAACCCCATCTGGGCCTCATTTTTCCTCTCTTGTGAAAGGGGAAAATAATTCCTACCTCTCAAGATTGTTTGCAGGACAAAAAGAAATAACACAAACATTGTACAACAAATAAATGCCTCATCATTGTTGTTGCATGAGTTTTTCTCCAATTCTAGTACAATTTCTCCCATTACATGTACAACCTTAGGATCCTGTTGCTTTGTTTTGTCCTTTCTCTCCCCAAGTCTCCTCCTTACATGGATGTCAGGAGCCCCACGACAGCAGCCCTTTTGTTGAGGTCCTCTTGTGAGGAGGGGAGGACACAGGGTGGGCTCATCTCTGTGTGACCCTGGAAAGTCACTCTCTCTCCTCTGATCCTGTTTTTTCATCTGGAAAAGGAAGTTGGAGATGAGCTCCAAAGCCCTTTTGATATCACCTCCTGGGACAATGGCATGTGCAAAGCAGCTGCATGCACGCGGCTCAGCATTGAGTGAGGTAGGGCATGTAGGGAAAGAATGGGAGCCAATCTGCTCACAGCCTCCAAGGGAAAGAAGACACGGCATGGCGGGGTACAGCCAGACCTTAGCACAAGTTCAGATGCCACAGTGCAGAAGGGAGGAGGTCCTCAAGCCCTTCAGGTTTGGGGGCACTGGAGATGCAGGCTCTGGCCAGTGGGGCAGGCTTCATGGAGGAGCTGGGAGGCCGGCTTCCTGTGGGAGGTTCCAACTTCCTGTGGGAGCTCCCAGGCCATGGCAGCTGGGAGCTGTGGGGAGGCTCGACTGGAAGGGACTGTGGAGGGTTGGAAAGGGACTTGATCAGGCACCAGGCAGTGGTTGCTGGACCCAAGCAGAGGCTTTTAGCTGTGTCCTGGTAGCTGTGAGGGTGACCAACTATATCTGTTTGCTCAGATGAGGAGTTCCTAGAACTGAATGAGCCAGCTCGAGATGCTCATTCTAGGAGGCTGCTCCCATGTGAACTCCATGGTAAGGACATGGGGTACTAAGGAGCTAGAGACCCTCATCCCATGCCTTGCCTCCCCAGCTTCTCCTAGGCATTTCCCTCAACACCCCAGCCTCTCATTTCCTGCCTTCTGTCTTACCCTTCTTCCCGTCAGAGAGGTGCAGGGTAGGATAGTCGGGGTAGGGGGCTGGTATTGGACAGGCAGCTCACTCCAGTGGGTGGAACAAAGTTTCCTGAGCACCAGGCTCTGGGGACGGAACACACCTGTGACAGGCTTACCATAGTGACCAAAGGAAAGAACAAATAAGTAAACCTAGCCCCCACTGAATGTACCCACTTCCTTGTGGAGCACGCCAAGCAAGCATTAGGCTTTGGCTGCAAGATGTGCTTTCCACTCAGGATCAAACTGAGTAGGGGGATGCTGCTGGCTCCTCCCTCAGCACTGATGGTCTTCCTGCTCCTGCTGGGAGTAATGAAGGCAGAAAGCCCTTCCTTGGAGGCTTCCTCAGCTACAGAGAGCCCCTTGCCAAGGTCAGATTCCTCAGGAAACCCCAACTCCTCCCGAGTGGTTAACAAGTCCTAAAGGGCTATCCTACCTTCAGAACTTCTCCCGAGATGGCCTGCGCTTCCTTATGATCTCTATTGCAGCTTGATCTCTCCTTCTGTCCCTTCTTCTTGCTCTTCTCTTTTAAGGACGTTGGTCCCCAGAGCCCTTTAAATCTCAGGTGCTAATCTGCACCTCAGTCTGTTCCTGGGAACCTAAACTGCAATACTCCATTTTTACAGGTTTTTTTCCCCCTTTGCTGTTTATTTATTAACTGCCAACAGCTTGTGACAATTTTCTGTGGCTCATCTAATGAAAATTATTTTTAAAATATGCTTGATTAGTATGGTCTTGTTACTATTACTGATAGCAAGCTTGGCTACTCATACCTTGTAAGCCAGAAGAAACAAGCATGAGATGTAGTGACAGGAAGGTGATTTTATTACAAAAGTCAACAAGTGGAGAAATGGCCAAGTTCATGCCTCAAATTAAAAAAAAAAAATTAGGCTGTTTGAAAAACATTTTAATTTTTTCAAAGGGAAAAAATGGAATGAGGAGTATCTTGGAGTGACATAGAGAGCTAGCCTCTCCTCAATGATTATCTTAAATTGTTGTTCACCTGGAGAGCCCGCAGGTACCATCCTGACTGTGGCCTGGTTGTAGGTTAATAGCATTAAGGTCACCTCAAAGAAATGGAGAGTTCTGTGGTGGGATCTTCATGTTCCATGCTTCCAGAGGAATAGCCTCTGGAATTTCTTAAGCAAGTACACAATTAGCTTAGAAAGGAAAAAAATCTTTAAAGTGTAGGCTAAGAGAGAAAAGGCTTAAAACCATTTCTCAAAAGCTAACATGGAAATTCTCAGTTACAGTCTCTCATAAAATGTGGAGTGATTATGGCAGCTGGGACCTGGGGAAGGAGACAATCTAGGGGTGGTTACTCCCCTTTTCCCTCCCCCTTCTTCTCCCTCCTCCTGTCCCTCTCTCTCCCCTTGCCCTCCCCCATCTTTGCTTCTTCCCACCTTTGCCTGAGACTTCCCCCACCCTTCCTGGAAATGAATCTCCTTTCTGCTCTTTTCCTTCCATCCCCATGAAACTTCCCAGTTCTCCGGTAGGCCTGGGCATGAAGTCTCCGATCCCTGGGGGTCAGAGGGGCTTCGGTTCAGTTCAGACTTCCAAAGGGCCCCCGAACTCTGTCATTCACCTTTGGCCAGTGCTTTACTTGTATGAGGAAGAGAAACTTCAGTCTGGGGAGGAAGTGGTAGGACGGAGGATTGAGAAAGTAGAAAATAACTTTGTTTCACCATAGTTCCCTCCTGGACTTTCTCACCACTCTCTGCCTCCAATCCTACTGAGAGGGAGGTAGTCTGACAAGGTGGAAGTGGCTGGGCCCAGGGAGCCCGGCAGAAGCTATAGTGTCCCTTGGAGCCCTGGTCCAGTCCCAGGGCTGAGGCTTTTTCAGGTCCAGATCTACAGTCTAGTGCTAGAGGGGCCTATATAAGCCAAGACCTCCATCCTCCTCAGGCCTCTGGCTTCCTCAAGGAGGCATTTGCCCTCCACAGCAATTCATCCTGCACAGTCTGGGGAGAGTAAGGCTGAGTCTCCTAGCTCTGGTTTCCTCTTCCTTTCCTGCTGTTCCCATTTTCCTCCTCCTGTTCCAGCTCAAGAGGACCCATGGCCTGGGAGGTTACACACCAGCTACTGCCCGTCCTGCTGGCACTCCTGGCCTCAGGTGAGGGACAGGGAAGAAGGGCCAAGGGAAGGGACAGTGTGAGAGAGGGGAAGGTGGTGGGTAGATGAGGGGGGCCTGAAGGGGGCCGTGTGGAGGGGAGGGTAGGGAGCAGGGTGGTGCTGTGGCCAGAGGTGGGCTCTGGAACACATCCCGAGTAGAGGTACAAAGAGGGGTGTTCTCTGAGGAGGGAGGCCCCCGTCTCCCAGCCCTGAGGTGGCACTTGGGGGGCTCCTGACCTGAGGGTTTCTTCTCAGGTTCATGGGCACAGAACATCCGTAGTCTGGAGGGTGAGACAATCTCTGTGAAATGCAAGTACAGTGTCTACCAACGTTCACAAGTGAAATGTTGGTGCAAGAGAACATCAGCCAATACGTGTGTCATCATAGTGGACAGTCGCAGGTCAGCGGCTAGGGAGTCTCGATACTCCATCCAGGATGATCGCAACTCTCTCATCTTCACTGTCACCATGACTGACCTCAGGGTAGAGGACTCCGGGTTCTATTGGTGTGGAATTCTTCGATCTTCTGTGATCACCATTCTGAAAACCATCCATCTGGTGGTATCTCGAGGTGAGTTGTTTTCCCTTCTTATCTGCGGATTTCAGGCTTCCTGATTCATGAGGTGTTAGACCTGGAGAGGACCCTACAAATCCTGTCCATCCACCCTCTCATAGCTGAAAACTGGGGCATGGGGAAGAAAAGCCCCCAGTCCCAGGTCACTCGCAGCTGAAGATCAGAACCTACCTCAGAACACAGAGCTGCTGACTTCTGGTTGTCTCTTCCTTCAGCCACACATGTATTTTTCTCAACATTTTTGCTGCTTTGAGCAGGACTCCTCCATTTGTTTGGAATTCCTTTAAAGCTTCCCATGTTTGAGCACAGCTGGTTTAATGTTGCATTCCTGGACATCCCTACTTGACCCTAACCTCCAGCTTCCTCTCAAAGGTTTGTGCTCAAGATGGATCACAAAGTGATGGGGTGGGGGTGGAGACATGTGGACAGACAGGAGAGTCATTCTACATGAGACTGAGAAGTGAGACTGGGAGGTGTAGCAGCCAAGGGCTCAGGAGCTCTGGGTCCTCTTCTTGGACCTTCCCCTAACAATTGAAAGTCCTTAAGCTTAAAAATGGGATGTCTGCAGTTGCCACTGATCCTGAAGTCCCTGAGTATTCCTCCTGAAAACTGTAGGGTTGCAAAGTGCCCTGCATTTTTCTGTGATGTTCAGACCCCCTCCCTGCTGCTGAACCTGCCCAGACATTTGGTCAAATGGGCTCCTGGAGGATGTTGAGCTGCTGCTCCATCCCTACTGCCTACTGCCCAGGGTTTGGCTCACTGTAGGGCACAGGGCTAGGCTAGGCTCTGGAAGAAGCACAGCCTAGCCAGAAAGACCGATGTGAATGAAGGGTCATGGCTCAGGGTGGTAGGTGGCATAAGAGAAGCAGGTTGGATGAAGTCACAAGGAAGGGAAGAGTCACCAGAGAAGGCCAGGGCTATATCCCCTCACACCAGGAGGACTCCACAGAAGAGGAGACACCATCTGGGCCTCACTGAATGAGGAGGAGACAAGAAGGTGTAGGGGAGGCATTAGAGCCTGAAAGGGCATGATTGAGTACAACAATAAAAACAGAAGAGACTGGAGAATATCTCCAGTATGTATGTGACAATGTAGTTATCTCATCAAAATCCACTTGAGGGTTGGGCACGGTGGGACGAGCCTGTAATCCCAGCACGTTGGGAGGCAGAGATGAGAGGACTGCCTAAGCTCATGGGTTAAAGACCAGTCTGGGCAAATAGTGAGACCTAGTCTCTACAATAAATAAAATAATTAACTGGGCATGGTAGCACGTGCCTATAGTTCCAGCTACTTGGAAAGCTGAGGTGGAAGGATCGCCTGAGTCCAGTAGGTTGAAGCTGCGGTAGCCATGGGCATGCCATTGCACTCCAGCCTGGGCGACAGAGTGAGACTCCACCTAAAAAAAAAAGCCATTTGCACTGTGGCACTTCACTGTGAGAGAAACCCAACAGAATTCTATTTGCTTGCAGGGCATGTGGTCTCAGCGTCCTTAACATTCTTACTTGGTCCAGGGCCAGGAGCGGACTCCTCCCACCCAGGGCTGGGGGCTAAAAGTGGGAAATCCTGAAGTGTGGGTGAACAGACAGGTGCCCCCCTCACTATCCTCTCTCACAGATTCAAGAATATACACCACCAGTAGCACCAGGAGGACAACAACCACAGCCTCTGCCACCAGCCCACTCATTGCCAGGTACCACTGCCCCCAGCCCTGTCCTCTCAGTCTTCCTTTTCCTCCTATCCTCAGACAACTGTGCCAAATGCCCCCAACACTGACACAGATACCCAGGTCTCAGGTTAAGGAACAGGGTCAGACAGTCACTCTAGGCTACTTCACCTGAGCTTCAGTTTTCTCATTTGCAAAATGGGGCTGATAACATTCCCACCTTACATCAGGGTTTCTAATTCTCAGCACTATTGATATTGGAGAAAGTTAATTCTTTGTTGTAGGGGCCTGTCCTGACATGATACGATGTTTACCAGCATCCCTGGCCTTTGCTCAATAAATGCCAGTATCACACACCTCCCTCTGACCACCCAGATGTGACAACCAAAATTATCCCTAGGCATTCCCAGGTGTGCCACACCACCCCAATTTGGAACTACGGTCTTACAGGGTTGTTGTCAGGATTAAAGGAAAGCCTGAATGCAAAGGGCTTAGGCCAGTGCCAGGTACCTGACCAGGTCTGCTTCTTTTACCTTTGCCTACTCTCCAGCCCTTCTCTGTCTGTAAGAGCAAGGGAGCTATCCCAGAGCCACAGTGCATCTAGGGAAAGGGCATACTCTGTTGTTACTACAACCCATTGGTCTGCTTTCCCCTCTACCCCTGCTTGCTGGTTTCCACACCCCAGTTACTGGGACTGGTGGTGTTTTTCTGCCCCTGCCCTCCTCTTCCCTCTCCACTCACCATCACTGCTCATGAAGAAAACTGGGCTCTTGCAGAACACGACTCTTTGCTTTAAGAGATTAAACCAGAAGCCAAGGGATGCTATCATCTGTGTGAGAAAGGTCCCTGAACTTCCTCCTCTCCCAGTTTGACCCTTGACCCCAGATACCTTCCCTAAAAGCCTGCTATGGGGTAAGAGTCTACCTTTGTGTTCTACCTTTGACTTAAGACAGGAACTATTAAAATGTGTGCGTCATCAAGCAGAGGGATTTATCAATTACACAAGTATACCCTGAGAGCTCACTGCATCTCACAGAGAAGGCATGCAGTTAAGGAGGGGAGAGAAGAATGTTTAAGGGGACTGGGCATGGTGGTTCACACCTGTGATCACAGTGCTTTGGGAGGCTGAGGTGGGAGGATCGCTTGAGTCCTGCAGTTTGAGACCAGCGTGGGTAACAAAGAGAGACCTTGTCTTTACAAAAACCAAAATGTTAGCTGAGTGTGGTGGCATGTGCCGGTAGTCCCAGCTACTTGGGAGGCTGAGGTAGAAGGGTTACCTCCAGAAGGTCAAGGCTGTGGTGAGCTGTAGTGGTGCCACTGCACTCCAGCCTGGGTGACAGAGTGAGATCCCAACTCAAAAAAACCCAAAACAAACAAACAAACAAACAAAAAAGTAAGTTAAAAAAACCAGTTAGAGTGGCTCATGCCTGCACTTTGGGAGGCAGAGGCAAAATTGCCTGAGCTCAAGGGTTTGAGACAAGCCCGAGCAACTTGGCGAGACCTTGTCTTTACAATTAAAAACTTAGCCAGGTGTGGTGGTGTGTGCTTGTCGTTCCAGCTACTTGGCAGGCTGAGGCAGAAGGAGCGCCTAAGTACAGCAGGTAGAGACTGTGGTGGCCAGGAATGTGCCATTGCACTCCAACCTGGATGAGACAGTGAGACTCTGACTGAAAAAAACAAAACAAATCAAAAATCCAGTTAAGGGAAGGTACTGGAAAAGGTGAGCGTAGATCCTGAAACAGGGGCCTAGAAGGAAAGTCAAGAAATAGCAGTTGCAAAAGAGGAAAAAAATGAAGACTCAAGACAGCACCGACATTTCTGTTCTATAGACAGGGAAACCAGCCTAGAGACAGAATGGCCTGCCCTAGACTGTATGACCTATGGGGCAGAGTCCTTGACTATATGGGGACCTCAGGGAGGCTGGAAGATGGGAAGAGCTTGTGGTGACAACAGGCATGGGGAGGAATGGTATTCCAGGCAGGAGATTGGGCTGGGCTCTGACTTTGCTAACTGGGCTGGTCCTTATTCCAAAGCGCCCCAGAAAAGTCCATTGTTCTGGGTGTGGTGGTGGTCGTGGTCATACTGCTGATGATTCTGGGGTTCGCTCTCCTCATCGTCCTGTACCTCTGGAAAATGCGAAGAAGACGCGGGAAAGGTGAGCCCCTGTCGCTGGCTTGAGCAGACCACCGAGTGCTTAGTCATTTATAAGGTAGTCTAAGAGCCATGAGATCAAGGCTTGTTACATTCATTTTACCAGTGGGGAAACTAAGGCCCAAGAGGTGAAATGGCTAAGATCCCCCTGGGAACCTCACATGGCTCTCCTCCCTTTTGCCAGAGTGGCAGGTGGGGAGGCCCCGGGGGGTAGAACAGTTGTCTTCTGAGGCTTGAGGTCAGCTCACCCAAAGCCAATTCAACTCAGCACCAATTTGCCTAAAACTAGGTATGCTAGTATCCATTGGGACCATGTATTTTTACCGTCTTTTGGGTTAAGGCTTTTTAACACATTTATGTAAAGACCTTTCTGGTTAATGGTATTGCTTCTTAATTGTTGCTATCATTTTTACGTTTTGCTTTTTTAAAAGCACTTCAAGGACTTCTTAATTTTCAAAATTTTAAGTTTTTAGCGTTAATCACATGTGAAATCTATGGTAGATTATCAGATTAGTTCCTTTTGATGAATCCTACCTCCTTTCTTGCTGTTTTCTTTTTGGTTGGTTGGCACATAGATATTGTATGCATATTAAAGATACTCTAAAGGTGAATCTGTTGACAAGATTGAAATGTGTGAGTGGGTCAGAGTTATACTTGGTTTTAATTTTTTAAGCTTTACAAACCTAAAGGGAGGAGTGGATTATAAAATTTTATATACATATTTTTCAAACTGTATAAAATAATTTTAGCAGGTCACAATAACATTTTTATAAAACAAAATAGAAGAGAAAAATATCAAAATGCTTTTCACATTTTTGGTTAAATTTTTATTTCAGGAGTGTGTGTGTGTTTGTGTGTTATAGTAGATAAATTGTGTATCACACTGGAGTTCCTGGTTCAAAAAATTTAAGAGACATTACTGCATATAACTTCATCAGCAAATAGACTATTTATAAGTTTGATGTTTAAATTTGGAATTTTCAGTGACCTGCACTTGACAATTAAGTGTGTGGGCTTTATGCAAATTAACCATAGACAGTTAGTTTGTTTTGCTTCTTAGCATCCCTGGGCATTTGAGCTCAGGCAGGAACATGTCCCCTGATCCAGCCCTGGTCTCTTTCCTGTAAGTGTCCCTTCTAACCAGCCAGGACCCCAATGCTCCCTGTCTTATTTCCATGGGACTTGGGTAGAAAGAAGTCCCTCCCCTGACCTTGACTGTCTTTTTCACAGGTGAGGCTGAATCTCATAAGATCTCTGATGATGTTTCAGTCCAGAAGGAGGGGACAACTGTGAGTAGGAATGACCCTTCCCTGGGACAGAGAACCTCAATTTTTAAGCATATCTTGATCGTTGTTCTTCTTTTTTTCCAACTTCTTAGTCTACACTTATTCAGTTTCTATTTACTCCAAACCTTGACTCACACTGGTGACTGCTTAGTTCTCTACTTACTTGTGGCCTGTCTATGTGTTTCCTCTCTCCATATTTCCCAATCCAAATATCTTATAGAGAGAGAAAGAGAGAAGTTGGTGGACCCAGCTTTTGTCTTTGACCCCGTGGGAGACAGCTTTCCATGTCTCATGGATCATGAGCCAGTCTGTGGATTGGCTGCCATTGGTCCAGTCAGTTGCGGGGAAGGGTGTTACATGGCAGACAACATGTTTCCCTAAGCCTCTCTCTCTGCAGGGTGTAGGGACCGGGCAGTTTCCCTTGGGTGGGTCTGTCCTGTCTAAACTTGGAATCATAGAATCGCAGGATTGGGAGGATCTGAAGTCATCTGGACCAATCCTCTGTGTCATGTAGTATCAACTCCACAAATAACATCTCTACCAAGTGCTCTTCCAGCTCACTATTACTCAAACTTGAGTGTGCAAGAAAGCCACTTGGAGTGCTTTTTAAAGCAGAGTTTCCTGGGCTTCACCACAGACAATTTGCTTGAATAGATCTGGACTATTCTATATAGACTTCCCTAGCCTATTCTTTTTTTTTTTTTTTTGAGTTGGAATCTCACTCTGTCGCCCAGACTGAAGTGCAGTGGCCGCTCCCAGCCACCGCAGCCTCAACCTGCTGGGCTCCGGCGATCCTTCCGCCTCAGCCTTCCAAGTAGCCGGAATTACAGGCATGCGCTACCACGCCCGGCTGATTTTTTGATTTATTGTAGAGATGAGGTCTCGCTGCCCAGGTGGGTCTCGAACCCTCAGGCTCAGGCAATCCACTCACCTCAGCCTCCCAAAGGCGCGGGATTACAGGCTGAGCCACGGAACCCAGCTCCCTAGCCTATTCTTAAGCATGTTTCATGATGGCAACCTTGTTGCCTTCAGAAGCAACTTTTTCCAGTCATTCATTCCCAGAGGCTCTGCAGAATCAGTACCTTGTTCCATATCTTATCCTTGTTCCTGCCCTCCATCCAGCTCTGGGTACCCAGAGGGTCTCTGACTACTCCAGCTGTGATCCATACAATGGGCATCTGTCTTCTTTGATTTCCAGGCCTCCACTCAGCAGATTGTCACTGATGAAGACACTGAGACCATCAGCTATGCCTCCCTTATCCACCTAAACCACTCCGGCCTGGAAGACTCCATCTATGTCAACACCCACTTCAACCTGAAGCCCACGCCTGACCCTTTTCTGTCTGTGGAATATGCCAGCATCACAAGAAATAGATCTCAGCCCTCCAAGACGGCTTCTGCAGAGGGGAAGTCTGGGAACTGAAGGCAGAATTCACTAAGCAGTGAGCCTATATCCGATGCTCATATGGTACAGAGCCACTCTTCCTGCAATGGGCGACTTCTGTGTGCAAAGACAGCTATCAACTAACAGGGGCCCAGCCCGTACTGTAAGGGAGGGGAGGAAGGGGAAACAAAGCAAAGCTAAGTCCGTGTCAACCCAGAGGGCAGAAGCTGTGAGCCTGAGGACTATGATGCAATCTTGGAGGATTTCTGGACACCTGCCCTTCCCTCTCCCTCTCCCTAAAGAGAGTCCAACTAGATAGGGGGTTGGGATCCAGTACCTCTGAGTAACCCAATTCTCACCTCTCTCTGTGACCATCACTTTATCTAGACAGGGGCTGTGCAATTCTGACAGATTGTGTAAGTTCCTCTGTCAGTTCCTCTTTCCTTGCGAGCCCCTTTCCTTAACGCTCTGCTCAGGACCTGTAAGCCAGGCTGTGAAATTCTGCCCTCCTCTCAGCTCCCAGCCCAGCTCCCTCCTCTCCTTCCTGGCCTCCTGATTCAAAATCCCTTCCACTCGTGGAATTCTTATGACTCTGCCAGGAGGAATGCTGGGATGCTGGTAGCGCCACCGTTCAGGAGTCTCCCTGGCCCTAGCCCTTGCCCTTGCCAGGAGGGCTGTGGCAAGGAAGCCTCTCTCCCCACAGCTATCCACACAGCGCCATCAGAACTGATTTGGGCTCCTCTGCCTTCCACTCTGCTGACTGCATCTTAGGCAAACAGAATGGGCTGGGGCTGACTCCTGCGTAGGCTAAGTGTGTTCCAAAGGGTCCTTCCGGAGATAAGGTTCCTTTTTTTGTGTGCCCTAAGAAGAGACTTTGAACTCTGGGAACTCCAGCCCAAGTGGGTGGAAGAGTGACGTCCTACATTATGGGGAAGATTGCTTGGAATTGCAGATTCATCATGTCTCAACAATGACCTTAAGAGTCACTGATTCCAATAGCCAATGGATGCCAGAATCCTCTCTACAATCCTCAGTGGAGCCACACAGTCGCTGCTTACATCTTCAGAGGATAGGGAGCTCACTGTATTCTGCTGGTTAGCTGGTTTGGGAACACTTTTGTGAAACAGGACCATCACAATGAGATGGCAGCTTTGCCCACAGGATGGGACCAAGGTCAAGCTGCATCCAGTTCAGAAAGGGAGTGAGGGGTTGGAGAGAAGGTGGGATGGCCAGTCTACAAGGATGAGGTTTTCCTCTATAAGGAAGGTGGGTAAGCTCCTGCCCTTATGACTTTGACATCTCAACTGCCGTCGTCCACCTTCCAGGGTCCCAGTGCCAAGGATGTGGTTCTGCCTCCAGCCTGTGGCTCTATGTGGACACAAGACTTGCAGACCAGTGGGGCCAGGCACTCAGACTGAAGGAGGTGCAGGGAAAGAACAGAATGCTCTGGTTACAGAGCCAGGTGCCCTGGCTTCTGAGAGCTCCTCCCAGCCCTGCCTGCCTGTGTCCTGGGCAAATCCTGCACCATGACTTTCTATCCGACCTGGTCGTGCTTTGGGAAGGTCACTGGTATTGACCTGTGGCCTCACTTAACCTCTGGTCTGTCATGATTCCAGGCTTGTGACAGCACCTCTGCTGTTGTCTATACTTTAGATTATGTACCCCTGGGGGAGCCCATCTTCACCATGAGACCCCCAACTTGGGTTTCCTGACTGCATTTGATCTGGTTGCAATACCAGGAGCCATCCTGGCAGTCGGATCCCTCACTAACTGTCAAAACCCCCCAAATTTAACCAGACTAGAGCCTCTAGTGTTATGATTCATCTGGGTTTATTAGACAGGCATTTATGGGATGCCTGCTGACGGCTAGGCACTGTTCACAGAGCTGCGGATACAGAGATTAATTCTAGTAAGCCAGCATTTATGGAGTATTTGTTATGTGTCAGATTTCTATTCATGGATGAAGGGCTCAAATATCCCTATAAGGTAAATATTTTTCTTCATATTACAGATGTAGAAATTGAGGCACAGAGAGGTTAAGTAATTTCCCAAAGTCACACAGCTGATAAGTACATGGTAGATTCTAGACTCTGAAGTTTTAACTACTACGCTTCTGGGTTCCTGTTCTCTTAAGGATTTCAGTGTGTGTGTCTGTGAGTATGTTGCGAAGATGTATGGAAAAATAATGACAATACAAAGATGTCATGGCTACAGCTAGAGGAATGCTGAGAGTGCTAGCGGGGGATGGGGAACATCTTTTCTGATGTAACCCTCCAGGAGGCAAGAGGGAATAGCAAGAGGGAATAGCTCCTCAGCTGAGGAGCTCAAGGACAAGACTCCCAATTAACCAGTGGTCCCAGACAAGAGGACTTGGGTCCTTCCTTCCCATTCTGTCCCAAGGAGAGGGCTGCCCCTGCCACCACCAAAGGCCTGGCGGTACCTTTCCAGGGCTGTGACCTCAGGAATGAATGTACAGCCTTTCCTTATCTCAGCACCCAGGCATCCATGGCCCCTGCAGGCTCCACGGGAGGGGTTGTGAGGAGGAGGAGGAGGACAAGATGGAGAGGGAGTGCTGCTCCTGGATCTCTGGAGTTCCAGGACGCATTAGGCCTATGGCCCGTGTATGAGTGGCATTGTATGTAAGCAGCATCCTTCTTCTGGCAGGTCTGCCCACCCAGCTGCACAGCACGTCCTCCCTTCACTTTGCCTCCCCGTACTCTGTATGCACATGACACCATGTGTAAAGATTTCGTTCATCAACCTGTCAATTTGATCTTTTGGGAGTTGTTTCAAGCCACTGAATTTTAGGATGGTTCATTATGCTACAACAAACAAAACAAATAGCCAAGACAAACTTGAAGAACAAGGTTGTGGGGAAGGGGATGACCCTACCCTACCAGAAACCAAAACTTACTGGGAAGTCATTATATGATTACCAAGCTATCCTGGAATGGAAACTGGCTAAGGCAACAGAATCGAGACGTGAGAAACAGATCCATATATAAATGGGAACTTTACATTTGACAGATCGGGTATCATGAATCAGGTAGAAAGGATAGAATATTTACTGGTGCTGACACAATTATCATATGGGAAAAAATAAAATTAGGTTTCTGTTAATACCTTGTCTTACAGAAAAATGAATTCCGGGTGTGTTGTAAACCTAAATGTGAATAGCCAAACAATAAAACATTTAGACAAACATATAAGCATTTTTATGGCTTCAGGGTACAGAATGATTTCTTAAGCAAGTCATCAAAAGCACAAACCATAAAAGGCAAAAATTGACTATATTTAAGTGGAAAACCTTGGTATAAAGAAGACACTAGAAATAAAATGAAAAGATGGACCACAGTCAGGGAGAAGGCATTTACAATGCATATAACTGATAGAAGATTAGGGGCCAACATTTATAAAGAGCTCATTCAGATTAAAAAAAAAATGACAAGCCATTTAAATTGGCATATAGGCGAAACCAAACAAACAAAACACAGACAGAACATTAAAAAAAACAAAGGCACATAAACAATGCTTAACTTCACGAGTAATCAGAGAAATTCAAATCTCAAGTAGATACATTTATATATCCAGCAGATTGGTAGAGGGCTTCAAATATGTATACATAAATATATGTGAACATACATACATACATAATCAGAGAGAGAGATGACATTGCATTTTCTGAGGGTCCATGGTAATAATCATAGAAACAAATATATCGTTCCATGAATGCATTTAAGCAGTTCAAACGGCATTTGTCCCATAAAAATACTTATAAAATAACCTTGGGTATGTGCTGATATCAGGTTTCTGTTACATCAAAGGCTTATGCGCCATGGAGGGAGTAACACTTAGACATGGAAAAGGGGAACAAATTAAATATGGCTTTATATACAAATTTTAGTGTTCAGTAAATAAGTTTAGTGTAAAATTCCATCTAATACAATAAAAGCACTAACATAAGCTTTTGATTTCCTAGATTTGAACCATTCTTTTCTCTTTTAAAAATTTTCATATACAGAAAAATATTAAGGTTTGACAAAACTGGGTAATAGGCACAAGTGTTCTCTATACTTCCTTATGTGCTTTAAAATATTTCTTAGTTTTTTTTTTATTTTAACAAAACAGCTATTGCAAAAGTCCAAGGAAGAGGTGATGTGGCCATAGCCCAGGGTGCTGTAACTTCAAGAAGAGGGAGTGGTGCTGAGAACTTGAGGCGGCCACTTTCCAGCTTGAGGAGAGAGTTAACGCTGTGAGGACGGCAGAGGCATGGAGATGGATATAGGGGAAAGAGAAGAGGAGTGACAGTTTTCTGTTTGAGAAGGAGGGAGGAATTGAACACACACAGAGATGTACAGCCAGTTTTACTAGGAGAAGCCTGGTGACCATTGAGTGACAGTGAAAGATTAACTAAGACAAATAACCAATTTGGGGAAGAAGAAAATGAGTTTAGGTTTGGAAACATTTACATCTGTATGCAACTGCAGGATAGTTAAGCTTAAGAAGCTGCAGATGAGAACTGAAAGCTCAAAAGAGAGATCAGGACTTGCTAACCTAGAGGAGAGTGGCCAGAAGAACTCTGACCCTGGGGGATACTTTTGTTTAGGTGATGAAAGAAAAAGGAGTATTCAAGGAAAGAGACAAAGAAGAGCCACCAGAGAGGCAGAGAAATACCAGTATTCCACAATGTGTCAGTCTGAGTAAACTAGCCGCACTAACCAAAAAAATATAGCACGAGTTTATTCCTCACTCCTATCACAGCACAATGTAGGTTGGTGAGGAGGCTCTGCTCCACACAGTCATTCAGGAACCTAAGTTCCTTCCAACAAGTGACTCTCTTATCCTCTAGAGACTCTTAGAGCTCTCCACTGGATCCTCTATATCTGGGTAACAAATGAGAAGAGAGCACAAGATTACACAGACAGTTTTATGAGACAGGCCCGGAAGTAGCAAACTTCATTTTTTTTTTTTCAGAATCCAGTCTACCTCTAACTTCAAAGAGGCTGGAAGATAGAGTCTAGCTGTATTCTAGGAAGAAA